CCACCTGTGGGCTTCCACCAGCGAGGCGCAGGGCTCCAGGCCCTTTCTCCGTGGCTGGAGGGCACGTGGCGGCTCGGGCGGGTCGCCAGCCTCCCCTGCAGCAATCCGGGCAATCGGGGTGTATCGCGGCACCGATACTCCTCCCAGCACTTAGCGCTCACCCCTGGACTCCCCCCGCTCCTGCCCCCACAGCACGGGCCGCTCTCTGCCTTGCGGCCAGGGCTACCCGAAGGCCGTTCAGGCTCCCTTGTGCCCTGGACCCTCAGCCCCGCGCCCGCCTGCCGACATTTTGTGCCCTCCGCGGGCTTTCCTCCCTCCACGAAGGCACTCGAGCCTGCTGCCATCTCACAACGCGGAGCGGTGCGGGCAAACAACTGCCATCGCTTTTCTGGTTTGTTTTTGGTTTGGTTTATCTTGTTTTTTTCCACTGCCTCCCCCTTAACCCCCCCAAAAACCTCTTTTGGCTCACCCGGGAGGGCTCCTCGCCTCTCTGGAAGGTTCTGCAACTGCAGGCAGGTGTGGCGGGGCCGGTCGTTAATGGCCGCACAGGGCCTTGCAGGGCGTGGCCCGGGGGAAGGAGCCTATAGATCCCTACAGATCCACATAGATCCACACAGATGCACATACATCCATACAGATCCACATGATCCCTACAGATCCGCACCCCTGAGAGCTCACACCTAGGGCCAGGCCGTGCCGCGGGCGACACGCGTGACTCCTGGCAGGCCTTGCTGAAACCCTCAGGGCTTTGCTGGCAGGACAGCGCGGTGCCGAAGTGTGTTTTGACAGTGATCTCAGGCGTCGGCGTGAGGTGGAGGGACAAGGCACCGGGCAGCGGCCGCTCGGCGGGAGCGGGAGTTTATCCCCTGGCGAGGCAACGTCCGAGGTCTGCGGCCAAGACCAACCGTCCCACAGGCGGGTTTGCTACCTACTGAGCAACCAAAATATTAAAAATTGCTAACATGTGGAATCTATTAGGACATTTAGAAGGAATTCACATTCATTGTTTCACTTGAAATATAAAGGTTATAAAACTTAATGGCCACATGACAAGGAAACTATATGAAACACTCGGAGATTTACAGAGCAACTGTTATGCTCTTTAGGCATGTGGGCTGAAAATTGCTTTACAATAGGCAACGCAACCTGTGGTTTGAGCGCTGAGGTTTTCTGGCAGTTTTCTTTTTTCTTTTTTTTTTTTTTTTGACCTTGCAGACTGGTATTCAGTTACCACAGCAGCTCCAAAGTAAAACAGAAACACAGCTTGTATCTTCTTTCAAGTATTTATTTCTTTTGTCCTGTTAACATCAAATAATGAAAGGAATTGTAAGGATTTTGAAGGGGGGGGGGTAAAAAGAATGAAAGCAGGAGAAAGGAAAAAAAATACCAACATAATGGCTTTAATTTCTCACAGCATGTGCGGCGCAAATGAACAGTAAACACATACCACAGAAAAATGCAAACAAAGGCTACGTTTGCTAAAAGTTCCAAGAAAAAAAACCATTGTGAGTGCCCCCAAGCAAACATTTCTGCGATTAAATCCTCAGAGCCTTCACATTTCTAGGCCAATTCAGAAGAGCTGATACCTTCCCCCTTCCCCAAAACACACATCAGCAAGCTAGAGGGAGGAGGCCAAAGGGCCAGGTTCTCAAGCCTTGTTTTGTTTTAAGGCATGGAACTGTTGCAATTAGGACATTGAGAGGAAGCTGTAATCTAATCTAACGGGTCAAGTACAAGTGTGAAAACCCGGTAACAAATTTGCCACTAGGGTTTGTCTACACAGAGCAACGTAAGCAACAGTTCAAGGGCAAACACCGCATTTTGCTCTGCTTGTCAAACCCAGATCTCAGCAGAGGCAGCACTTGCCTCTGAACCACAGGGCAGGAATTTACAATCTAGGGTGCTCATACAAAGGTTTTAGGGAGCCCTTAAGGGTTATACCATCAGTGCAATCACATATAGTCTCATTCTGTGACATCAGGCAAGACTGTACAATTCTCTGTTTCACCCTCGTGCTATGTCTAGAAACTGAAACAGGATTTGAAAAGATGTATGTCAAAATATTATGCTTGTAGTTTTGATACAGGAGTTTCAAATCTACTCAGACGTTGGAGTGAAGAGGGAGAATATGGACATGAGGTGAATTACGCTCAGCAGCAAGAATGACCTTTCTGCTAATGCACCTGTGTGTCTCAGGGCATTCAGACATTCTGCTCTTTTTCTACATTTGCTCACTTTCCAAATTTAAGTGGCAGTACAACTTTATTACACTTACATTTTCTTAAATGAACTAGGGGTGAGTATGCAGCAAAACAAATCCCCCAAAATCATGATGCCATTCCCCCTCGTATGGCAATAGGCTATGCCCTAATGTCAGGGGGTCATTTTTATATTAATTAACTATTTCCAGGATCAGCACACTGTGGTTTTTTTTCCCCTGACCATCTGAGGCTAAGAGAGAGGTGAATCCAGTGAAAGAAAACCAAACTGTGAAAATTTTCTGCTATAAGCAAAGGCAAATGCACTGTTGACAGTATCCCAAGTTAGTTATTTTCCCTTGAAAATGTCTATAAGCACGTTTTTGATCACAAGATTGGAATATGTCATGAGAACACATTGAAGTATGCATTTGCATTAATATTGTTGCCAGAAGCCATCTCACAGCCATCATCAGACATACTGGAGCCCCTAGAAAGCTTTCTGTGGGATTGGAAGGCATCCAGCCAGGGGAAAGCAAAGCCATCATGTGATTCGGATGCCCAGTTCCACAGGAAAACTATACATTAATGAATGGCAAGCACTCAAAGTAGTAGTTATGGTGAATAGCAAGCAAATCACTGGCCGAGAACAATTAAATATTTGATAAATGAAGATTTGAAAGAAGTCTATTTTAAAATATTCCACTGAAAGAAAACAGGCTAATTTTACAGCAAGAATTGGCCATGCCAAACAGTATCGCTTAGCTCTAATGAAGATCACTAGAATATGAGTTGCCCATCCAGCCTTAAAGCATATCCAACATAATATGCACTTTCTGCTGCAAAAGGACAGTTTCAGGTATCCTTACATCCATCTGTTTTAATATTCCTGAATGGTAAATTACCAGAAGAACTCAAACAGCAGCGCGGAGTACCCTGCAATTCAGGGCTTGAAGCATATTTCCATTACTCAGACAGATGGAAAGGGTTCATGTGCTGTACTGCGTGTTTATTTTCTACTTCAGTAGTGATCTATAAATGCCAGTAGATCAACAGTTCAGTTCTTTGTCCCAGAAGGCGGGGATGTTGCACCTAAACTTACCGTTTGCACTCTCTGGCCTTTTCATGTATACACTGCTCATTTCAGCAAACCTTTCTGCTTTCATTGCTTGACTTTGAACTTACGATTCCTGCTTTAGCCATAAAGTGATGTTCTGGCCAACCATTACCTAACAGTCCTTCCCAGTTCAAATTCAAATCCTGTAGGTGTTAAAAAGAATATGCAGTTATCAACTCATTGGGCAGAAGTAATGCAGTTCTCTGGGCTTCTGGTGCACTCGGTGCTTTAAAGGAAGGTAATCTCCAAGACATTCAGGGCAGTTTTCAGTGTTAATGTATTCGAAGGTGTGGACACAGGCACGCACAGGTGAGAGACTGCCTGAAGGGAAGGCGCAGAGATGAATAATCTGCGTGCACAGCATTCTGGCTCAGAAACTCTCAAAACACAGTCCTCCCCAACAGGAACAATTGGAAGAGACAGACAAAATGATGAAAAATGAAGGGATCAGCAAAAATCAGACCTAATATAAACCCAACTAAAATAAACTCAGCATGGCTCCTGCAGCTCATTCAAAAGAAGGTCTTCTCTGAGAGTTCATCTGCAAGGACTCAGTTCACTGAAGGACGATCGATTGTAACTTCCTCTAGCGTGTGCTGTTAGGAGCCTTTGGCAAATCTGACAACACGAAGAGGTTTTTCAAAGGAAATACTGAAGATTGCAGCACTACCTACCAGATTGCTTCATGAGAAATATGACATCTCCACCCAGAAAGCACCAGTGCTCCTCAATACTGGTCTCAAGAGTTTGAAAGAATTATTATTATTTTCTTAATTGATGTAGGGAATGAGAGCTGTGAGTACTTGTCTGGATTAAAAAACAAATTACAATTTTTACATAAGAAAACTCACAATTCTGTAATTTGAACAAAGGGGACGTGTACTGGGAAACCTATTTTTTAAAGTGGAATAAAGATGCATTTTCACTGTATGTTTAAAACAAAAACGAGGTCAGAAGGCTCAGTGCTATAACCCTGTAATGATGGAAGCAGAGCATTCTACTGAATGATTAAATGTAGTTGTTTGTACATGACTTCTTTGGTTTTTAACATATGTAGCAACTTTGGCTGCAGGACATCACCACTTTTTTTTTTTTTTTTTTTTTTTCTGTGTCAGCAACAGATCCCTCCTAAAGAAATTCAAGGCTATACTTCATTTGATTAACATGCTTGTTAAACCTCAGCTATGCCAAAAGGACAACAGAGAAGCTGAAAGTGTTTTAAGATTCCAAAGTATTATGATAGTTGATGTGGGTGAAGAAGGATTTGTTGCAATAGCAGACAACTGAGATACACATCAGTTAATACTGAATATTCAAGACTATTAGACTAGTGACAGTTACAGACTCTTCAGCCACCAAGGCACACACAATACTGCTTGCTGGTGTTGCTCTCTCTACTGTCTTTTGCATAGCCCTTAGAATAGTAACAAAATATTGCCCAGATCTGCAAGTATTCCTCATGAATTTGCAGCCCTGATGGGAGTTCAGAAGAGACCGCAAGATACCTTGTTGCTGGGGAAAAGAAAGCCAAGCAATAGCTCACACAGTGATCTGTGACTCTGTTTAATCCTATTGATGATTTGAATCAATCACATTCTTCCCACTTTATTTATTATTAACAAGGAGAAATGTGGCCTGAGACCTCCAGGAATTGGCTAGCTTTGTTCTTCAATGGATAGATTTAAAAAAAAAAAAAAATCACTTATTTTGCTACATTCAACAGTTGAGAGAGCAGAGACAATGAGCTTGTCACCTCTGCCATTACTGCAAGAGGCGGAGTTGCAGGGGGTATAATGATCATGGGAGTGAACCGACTGCGCTATGACATGTCTCTGTGAAATCAGCATTCCCAGCAGGCCCCAGGAAGAGGAACTGTGTGTTCAGATACCACTTGTTTTCCATTATGACCATTTCCACCTTCTGTTGACACTCTTCTGAGATGAGCCCTTTTTATCACAAACCCTTATTCCATACGACAGCATTTATCCTATAGCCAAAATATTCCAGAAGCTGTATCACATTTATTTCAGTCTTCTCTGCATAAAGGCACTAATCTTTTCCTGGAAAAGACAACAATGAATTGCCTCCTTTTTTTTTTACTGCTAACGTTAATCCTGCAATGTGCCAGAACAGGATCTGGGAACACTCATCAGACCAGCAGCAATGCCCAAAACAGCAGCTGGTGGCTGTGCTCCAGAGCACCTAGTGCTAAAACAGGAAGGTGAAGCAATGCCCAGTGTTGGCACATGGTGGTTCAAGGGAAGGAACCAGTCAGGGGTCAAATCTAAGGCAGGACTTCTGGGAGTCACGTAGGCTACTCTCAGGCACCGAAGGGCAATTAGAGACCTCGCTGCAGCACTTGGTTTTGTACTGGCTATCACACGTCATCTCATTCTTTAATCTATTTTTTTCTAAAGTGGCTTGCAGGACCAGAAGTTTAAATCAGTTTGGTCAGTGACTATAAGTACCACAGCTTTCCGTGCAGTCTTCCTCTGTACCAGTGCACCGCACTAGTGGTTTGCTCAGGTAAGCAATCTCAGTGCAGATGGCCTCGGAGGACATGTAGGAAGTCAATTCTGGATGCCAGAATCGTTTTCATACAGAAGCCAGCAGGCTTCTGAGATGTCTAGATTTAAGGCACTGATATTCCAACAGTGTTCTTCTACATTAATTCCACATTGCTCGGGAAGAAGATGCTTAGGGAAGATGTCAAACAGCAACTTTTCACTTCTGTATTCTTTTCATTATCACTTGATTAACATAGACAGAGAAAACTCATGCCTAGGATGCCCTGCCTGTGAAAAGCTTGTACAACACAGTGGTGACTCCTTCAGATAAATAAAATTGCATAAGAAAAAAACCCAGGAAACTGAACCACATCTACCTAGTAGCACTGGGTCAGGTTGATTACTAACACAAGGTTGAGAACCACATGTCCTTGTAATACCTAGGCATGATGGGTGACCTCTGCAGCTGGCTAGGAGAAAGGGAGTGGTGACTCAAACTGTCCCTTCCTTGTTTTCACATGTATGGGTTGCTTGCCCTTCCTCAAAAAAAAAAGAGACACCAAACAGTAACTGACATATTAGGGTGTTCTGAGCCAGCACGCTACAAAGTAAATGGACTGCTTCTTGGGGCATAGTGACCCAAAGGAATGAGCAGCAGTAACAACATGCTTCTTTCATAGACGGTATTAGGATGGAAATCACATGCCTCTATAATAGAACGTGGAATCTCTTCAGGATAGAAGGTGGCATCTCACCTCTGTTTCTTTAGGGCCACCACACTCCCCTTAAGATTCCATCTATCCTCTATGTTGTTTTCTTATATACTTACTCTTCAGTCCCTCAAGCTCAAATCATAGTGCTCTCTTCCCTCATTTAAGGAGGAACTGTTCTTTTTCTAGATTTATGCAGAAAAATCAGCATATACATTTGCCTTGATTTTTTTTTTTTCTGCATTAATATGTCACAACACTCATAGCAAAGGTGAGTATAAGGCACTAGTAAGTTTGGACTCTTTGGGAAGGTGTGAAGATATAAACTGTCTCCTTAGAGGTCTATGCTTTTCAGTTGTATCCAGTCCACACAGGCTGGACCAGTATGTGTTTCTGGTAAAGCACAAGTTTGGGAGATCTGTTACAGAAACAAAAGAGGGTGTTATAAGAAAAGATGTCAGGAGCAGGGGGAATTCACTGCCTTCCATGGTACTGGCAACATTCAAGTTGTGTCTTGTGTCTTCCATCTGTAGTCTACAGGCTGGTGTACCTCAGTCCCATCAATCCAGTCTGGTCTTCTCTCTAACACATTACCTTGCTGATCTGCCTCTCCTCAAGAGTACAGAAAGGGTTGTTTCTGATGAAGCTGTCAACTCCCTGAAGTTATTGAAGAAAGCTACAGAGGCAATCTTAGCAGAATAGAGGGTGGGAAGAGGGGCAGTTTATCAGTCAGCAAAGTGACTGACTTGCCAGCTCCCTCTCAGAAACACTGGATAAAAGAGAATGAGTAGCAGTGAGAAGGTGAAGTTCTGGTTTTCTTCATGTCTTTCTTCAAATTAGTTGCTGAAGTCTGTGAGAGGTGCTAGCCACTATTCATATCACAAGATCTCCTCCAGAAAAGCACTCTAACAAAGGATTCTGTTCACTAGAGAATGTAACTGCTGCTTGTGACTGACAGGTTTTGCTCAGTCTCCAAACGGCGAAGAAGCAATACCAGGTTGAAGGATCTTAGTACCAGGGAGGCGAGAGCTACACAGTGCAGAATATTCTCAGGGCTGTCAGTTATTTGGTGAAAAATGCAAAAGATTACATGTGACATCACCTTGCTTTACCCCCAAATTTATGAACAAGTGCTGTCGAAAAGTGGCTGTCACCCAGATTAAGTTTATTAAAGCCACATGAAGAAAGAAAAACAACAATAGATGATCCAAGGTCATCCTGTATTCTTTTCCTCAACAGTTGCATTTGAGCTAGAGGAACATACTAGGCCAAATTAATGTCTGCTACAAACAGATGTGTTCTCTTTGAAATAAATGCACCCACTTATGCTCTGCCTGCATTAAGTCTGTTACTAGGTTTTTATGAGATTTGGCAAGTGCAGTGCTATCTGTTAATATCTGAAGGTGGGAGTGTTCAGGGAGTTGTCTGAAAGGCTTGCAAGGCTAGATCTGATCATATCCACCCACACTAATTAACACATTACATAAAAGTACAGGTTTCTCTTTGCAAACATCAGAATCACTTGCCCAGGCACTTTCTGTGAAGTTCTAGAAGAGCTATAGGCTGGACTCCATCACTTTTTAACCTCAACAGAACAATGGATAGGTAGGGTATAGTTCCCACTTTCAGGGCTCACACCTTTTCTTCATCCTGCTAAAAACGTGACATCAGCAGGGATATGCAAGGACATTTTTAAGGGTGCATGAGGGAACATGGGGTGTTTTTTTTCTCATCAAAACCAAAATGCAAAATCAAATATTGAACATGAAGAATCAGGTTTACTTACAAAGGACTCCTCCTCTCCCTGCCCTGCCTCGCTAATTTTGAAAATCACTTTGTGCAAAAAACAGCCTCTGAAAGAACCTGGAACTGAAAATTCCTCCCATTTAAATAGGGTCTTTTTATGTCAGGAGAACGTATGTCCCAAAATGGCTAACATTTCTCTCTCATTCAAATTTTAAAACAGCAGCAATCTCCTGAATAAAAATGATATTAAGGGGTCTTCTTCATAGATTGGAGCAAGTAAAACTAATTTCATATGAAACTTCTATGATCTGCTTTGACAACTTCACCTAGATTCCTTCAGCAGGATAATATACACCCCGATTTTGATTTACTCCAGACTCTTTGTATGACATCTGGCTTCAAGATGGTGGCACTGAAAAGTGCAGTAATGACATAGGAAAACAGAAGGAAAAAAAAATAATTGTGACGTGGAAAGCAGGAGGCAGTGGAGAGAGCAGGGGAAACCAAAATTAAAATAAGTCAAAGGGCGGAAATTCCTTTGAGAAGGCCTTAGGCTTCAACAAAGCTTGTCAACATTTGCAGCACTTTAAGATTACCCAATACTAACCTTATGTGAGAAGGGACAGCAGACCTCAGCAGGCATTCCAGAGGAGCCTTTCTATGAAAAAAAAGTCTTCAAATGTATCCATCCAAATCTGCAAGTAGCTCACTGGATGGAGAGCATTCTATCTCGCATCACTCGCAAGAGAAGAAACTCTTACCCAACTCTGCCTACTATCTGAAAAGCAAAGTCAATGTTTTCCTCGTTATTTCTGTTTGCTGCATACCTCTCCCCCACTGTGACTGCTATTTGACCTGCTGTCCGCTCAGAGACCCTGAGGGAAAGGGAGAGGGAAGTGTGTGCGTGTGTGTATGTGAGGAGTGAGACCATGAGTGTCTCAGCTACATTCTGATTTGTTTATATTCATTAGCAAGAAATCAACAGCACTTAATGTGTGAGACAACTTCTGAAGATAGGGAACATCTTTTATGCAGTGCAGGAAAGGAGCAGATTCATCGAAGGGACAGGATTTGGGGATGAGTGGAGACTTAATTTCAATGTGTGTACTAGTTTTTACCTCACTTTTGCATTAGGGTGTTATCAATGAATAGAATCTCAGCATAAAGGTTTAATTTACAGGGGACACCACAGGGTGCCCTCTTTTACCAATTCTGTTTGCTCTTGCATCTACAAGCCTGGCATGCCTGAGTGTGATTAATGAAAAACTAGAAAGGATTAGAGGGCATAAGGGGAGGTATGTATAATCATCCCTTCCTCTCTCAAGTGTCTCTTGATAAATATGCTACCTTCAGTATTCCTGGCAGATTCTGGAAGGGTTCTACACTCCTTGCACTTGTGTTTTCAGCAAACTGGACTACTTCTCAAAAAATTGACAAAAAATAAAGCTGAAAGCATCTATTAGGGTGGGCGTCAAAACCACAGAGATCAAAGTTCCTTTTCATCCTCTCCAGAGAGCCCCAGACATCTAGGAATTCAAAACAAAACTCCATTGTAAGAAACCTTTTCAGAGCTGGCACAGTGCTACAGCTTGTATGTTCTGAACTCAGGAGGAAAGCACTGACCCAGACATGAGAGCTCCTCAAAACACCCATGTGGGCAAAGTGGCTTGCACCCATGGCACTTTGGCAATGTCTTCCCCTTGAAATGCTCAAGAAGAAATGTATCTGCTGATTTGCAGTAAGGTCCAGACCTTCAGATTTTAACACTGACATCATTGCACCCAAGCAGTTGGTCTCCCTTCTACATGACAGAAGCAAAGAAATATTCTAAATAGAGCTCACATCTTTTCGGCTGTAATTCAGAGTTCTTTTAGGAAATTATACATTTTGGCATATGCGTTTTTTCATCTTCTAAATTTTTGTATAGAACCTGTTGGTTTATGAATAAATACTGCTTTTCCTTTCTATAGCATGTTCCATTTGAATTTGCTGAGCTTTTGACAAACATTTAAGTAGTGAGACTTTCAACTTTTGAGGTAGGGAAACACTAGAAATATCTGCTTTGCAGGTCAGGGTGCACCTTGAAATGATGCAGTTTGCCCCAGGTCACACAGGACATCTATGGAAAAGCTTGAAATTCAAGTCAGGAGCCCTAAATTCACTCCTTTACTTTAACCACGTGGCCTTCCTCAAGGTGCTTCATTCAGGTGTTCTCGAGTTAGGCTTGCTACTTTCCTGTATTGCAATTATATTAATTCCTCTTTTAGTAGTGTTCCAATATGTTTCAGCTACGCCGCTATGCCTAGTGCTGCACACTGCGTCTGGCATCGGAATGCAGTGTTGCTCTTACTAGGCTATCAAAGAGAATATATCATTACAAAAATAAATAATGTCTAGCTGCTTCTGGCATTTCAGTCCAAGCAGTATTTATCACTTTTGGCTGATCAGTGCCTGATTCAATGCCCCTAAAAAACAATGGGTATATTCCCAGTTGAATTCAACGTGCATTTAATCAGGTCGTTGCTAACTGTGCTTCCAAACTTCACATTTCATGAGCACTACACTAGTGTCTCTTCTTAGAGCATTATTCCACTTACTTCACTCTGCAGATCGATACAATGGATTTTCTTCTGCATGGATTATGTCAGTGATTGTATGTTTGTACAAGCAGGCTCTAGTTTTAGGTCTAGATTTAGTTCATTCCCAATGTGATGCTGCCTACATGCGTGGCAATCTGGGATTAATGCTAAAAATATATATATTTTTTATCATAAATGAACAAAAATATTCAGAAAGACAATTAAATTTCATATATGAGTTCAGTGACAGAAAGAATCTTCCACTATTCAAACTGTCTGCTCTCTGACTGAGCATTCCTCTCCAGCCTTCACAGGTGAAGTAAGACAGCTTGCTTAGGCACAGCACAGTCCTTCCAGACAGAAGTCCTGGGTGGCCTTTAACAAAGAAAACACTGCTCCATCGTTTGCTCCTTCCCTGATGTGAGTTGGGAGCAGCTTCATCAAGGCATGTAAAGTGAAGAAAGGGAAAGAAGCTTCCATTAAATGTCTGTAACTTTTAGTTCTTCAAATTATTTTTTAAGTTCCCCATCCGAAAAGCTGAAATGAAACCAAGGGGCAGTTTGTAATTGCAGTTCCTCTGAAGAGAGGGGATAAAGCATGTATGGGGTGTGATGTGCTGCCTCTCAGCTGAGACAGCCTACAGACACTTCAGAAACAAAAATTACATCTTAAAACTGTGAGTAGATTTAACAATTGAACTCTAAAGAATTAAACATCATATAAACATTTCACACTTTTTGTTTTTCTTTCCAAGGGTCCATAGTCTAGTCCTTGAATCCTGTGCAAAGGTCGTGTTACTATGGATATGACCTGCAAGAAATGTGTTGCCTCAGAGCAGCACAAGTCACATGAACAGGCTGAAAGCCAAGCCTGCTGATTCACAGTCTTGTCAGGGTTTTCATGCTTGTGTTGGTTTCACTGAAGAATAGTCCTTGCACCATCAAGTCTATGTTCGTCCTTTAAAAGTGTTCATGCAGGTGTAGCTCCCCGAAAACTTGTGGATTTCTTCAAGTGCTGCCTGAGGGAGAATGCTGCAGGAGAAGCAGAAAGAAAATAAGCAGACCAGACAAACCTCTTAGTCTATTCTAATAAGAGGATGTGTAAATATGTGTTTATGTACACACATACATAAATACACATGTTCTTAGAAATCAGCTAGTGAGAGCATGCAGACAAAGCTTGTGTCAGCATCCTGCTGTGAAAAGGCCTAAAGGGAGAAAGTTAGATCAAGTTGCTCTTTCCCTACAGAAGTATTTATCCAAAAATGTCTGTAAAAACCGTAACTTGGAAGATACCATCATGTTTCATTCCTCCCAAATGTTGTGCAGAATCTCGTTCTCTGAAACACACAAATTTAAACTGAGTTCTCTCGTTAACATACCATCTATTTGTGCCAGGCATGTGGCCTTCTTATCGTAAGGTATGGATATAGATCTAATTTCCTGACAGCTACTGTAATGGAAAATAAATTATTAATTTTTACAATAAAGGAGAAAGAACAGCCCTTTTTCAGCCTGTAGAATTTCTGGTAACTTTTGAGAGTATCCCAAATTTTACATTCAGAACAAAGCATTTATTGCGAATTATTTTTTCTTGTGTGAAATGCAATATTCTAAGTATTTTCCACAGAAATCTCATGGCCTTGGTTCAGTTCCTGACTGAAGTAGGTTTTTCCAAAGGCTTTAGTGCAATCTCGCATAGAAACACAATTTTACGTGTCCTTTCTCTTTAGTTGTTTCAGGATATGAAGTTATGACTTTCCTTAGGGACTTCAAAATTTCTGTCCTAATCATACACAATTTTTTTTTCTTTTAACAGTTTAATTGCTTTAATACCAGCAATGCTCACTAAATACAGCTGTACAGAAATCCCTTACAATATAAAGCCTGGAGTCCAAAGAGTGGCTCGCTAAATCAAAATCAACTACGTGCATATGTTAATTGTTAAGAAATTTCCTAGATACAAATACCCGTTCAGACCTCAGGAATCCAAATTTTGGGAATGAAACTGGCTTTGTAATGGGGTTATACCAAAGGGAATCTCAGGAAGTTTTCTCCCTTCTGCTTCTCTGACTGTCTTCTATGGGAAGGGATGCACCAATCTGATCCTAGATATCGGGTGACAGGCAGACTGAGGCTGCCTTGGTGGACAGACAGGAGGACTGGGAGGCAGTCTAACCCAACGGGCTAGGCTACTGCTGGGCAAAGGAAATATTTACCTTTTTAGGATGACAAGAACATGCATTGTCCATGGAAGGAGCAGGAAGGCTTGATTCATCTGAACAGCTTCTACCGTCCTCCTAGCCACCGTCTCTGGCTTGAGAGGAGGAAAAAGATTAGGGAACCTGAATAAAGAAAAAACTAAAATAATTATTTGTTAACAAAACTCCTTCTTTAAGATATCACTGTCCAATTCCTGTTATTCACTAATCTATCACTGGTTACTGGCATTCAAATATGCCCCAAAGCAGGCTGGAAGGAGCAGAAAGTTCCAGTTCCAGCCAGGAAGCTGGAAAGCAGAAAGCCCAGTTCCAACCAGTACTACCTGGGTTAGCTAACCAGTTAAGAATGTACATGTTGGTGCCTTTAGGGAGAAGTGGCAGAGTGTACTTGGAACCTTGATTCAAGGATTTTCTTAAACTCCATGCAAACCAGTACCAAAATGCTCTTTTTTCGGTGTTGGCATTTCTCCTCTTCCTCACTGTTGCTCTTTGCTTGATTCAAATTCTTGACAGGTGAAATACAAATATCTTTCCCCATTGCTTTTAATAACAAACATAAGGCTTTCCCCCGCTCCAGCAATAGCTTGACACTGCATATTTTCTTGACTAAGAGATCACAAACCATACTAATGGGTTATTTTGTTCATTGTAAAAGATTAATTTGGTCAGTCATTAATCTTTGAATTTTAGGTTGTTCTCTTAGTGGTAAAAAGGAGGTACTGGTAGCCGTACTTCAGTAAGTGGCTGTCGTTCCTTTCAGTAGAAAAGAATTAGGTATTTCAATTAACAAAGGAGGAATTTGTACTGTTAATTCCCAAGTAATTTGTAGACTGCTCCTTTTGAATGACCTCAATTTTCAGATTGCCTCCCCTCCCTCTCTGGTGGCTGTATATGGCCCAAATACACTCAGGGAAAAACAGCTTTCAGTTTTCTCTGTAGAAGCAAATGTCTTGGTACAGGCAGGCTGTATGAATATGCCAGCAAACTGAGGGAACCAGTCTGATGAGTCCCAAGTGGCCTAGAGTGACCCTCTGTTCCCAGGCAGCCAAATGAGACATCAAATTCTCTTAACTAAATGAACCATTAATTAGGAGTGTATTCTGATGATTCATTTAAAATGAGATGCTTTATTCTAGTTCTCCTGCACTGACCTGATTCTCATGCCCTGAAACATCTCTGTGCTGGTGTGGAAGGGCAGGACTGTTGTGGCATTCACTCCGGGACAGTCTAGCAGCCCCAGGGTCAGGCTTTCCATAAAGGCAAAGGACGAGGCTTTGGAGGTGCAATAGTCAATGGCACCAGGGATGGCTGACAAGGCCAGGACAGAGTTCAGGCAAACAATGTGTCCATTCTGCAACTCCAGCATCCTTGGCAGGAATGCTTTGGTGGTCTGAAGAACAACAGATTAAAAAAAAAAAAAGGTTTGCTCAGCAGAGATACAACAAAAACAATAGTTACTGAAAAAAAATAAAGGTGACACAATGACAACAAGCCAGACTGTGCTGTTCATTATGCTAGGAAAGGAGTGGGAGAGTACCTCGTTGCTTTGTCATTTTCTGAAAGATTCAAAACAAGCAAAGTCTGTGCAGAAACAAACCAAAATCTTTCCCAGCACTTAAGTAAGCAGTACCTACAGATAAAAGACCATGAATAGAATGCTCTGTGTGTTTAAGAACCTGTAGAGGATAAACTCTTCAACAAAGTGATGAAATAACAAGCAGCTCTTTTTTAAATTACAATTATCTAATTCAAGATGGAATGAGCTTTGCACTAGCTTTCTTCTGTGAGCAATGCAGTTTCATGCTCCTCTGACGTTCCATACATATCACTGTACAGAAAACTATCCTCTGTGAGCTCAAGGTTTCTCAAAAGAAATCAAATGTTTTACTGGAAATCACAGAATGGGGATACAAGAGCATCAAATCCTGTGTTACTACTGGAAAAAATAAGGTTTTTTTAGACTTCTTTCCTCTGGCCTTTCCCCCTCACATTGTTTTTTCTGTCACTTTCTCATGTCCACACTGATTTAACCAAGCATCATTTAGAAAGACCTAGTAGCAGCCAAGTGTTTACCAGCTGTAATCTGTCACTCTGATTCCCAGTTCTGAGTACATGTGATACAAGAGCTTATCTTACCCAGAACTGTCCCAGGGTGTTTATATGTTGTGATTTGAGCAGTGCGTCATCATCGCTGTCCATCAGGCTCTTACCATGGACCACAGCAGCATTGTTCACCAGGATAGTGATATCACCCACCTGCAAAAATAAATGACTTGTTACAGCTCGTGTCTCTCCTCATGAACCACCAGTTACTATTATATCTGAATATCTATTATTGCCAAAATACAGCACTATTTTCAGAGCTTTTGACATTCTTGCCTATAGGCCTTGTAATCACTTAAAACAGGTAGCTAGACTTTGTACAACATAATCTGGATGGTCACCCTTCTTTTTTCCCAATTTGCCAATATTTTTTTCTCATCAAATAGGAGTCATTACTAAATTCTGCCCAGAATTCCCATACACTAACCTTTTCCCGCACAGCTTTGGCTTGCCGATAGACCTCCTCTCGATTTCCTACATCACAAATGAAATAATGGCATTCTGTCCCCATCATCCTGATTTCCTCTGTGGTCTCCTTCAGGCATTTCTCAGTTCGACCCCACAGGATGATCTGCAGTGAGAAAATTTTGTTAGAGTCGAAGTGCTTCTGCTTCAAATCTAAAATAATTAAAACATGCTTCTAACTTCAACAATTTGATGAATATCTTTGATGTGTTTTCACTGCCAGCCACATCGCATTGTTTCATTTAAGACTAACAATGGTTTTCTATTACATGGGGATGGGACTTGAGTATCATGGTGGTAGCTGTATCCCACTGCTGCTATTTACAGGTTCTTTACAAGCAACACAATAGCTAACCCAAAAACTCAGATCTTCAGCCTAACATGATAAATATATGAAATGCTTGGCAAATTTTCTCTATCATGACGTTTCAAATCTATCCTTGCTTTTGCTATATACACACACAAAAAGAGAAATTTATTCCAAAACCAGAGACCTTCCTGTATATCTGGTATGTATCTAGTTCTTGCTCTACATTTGGAGAGAGTAACCACTCTGCAGTAAAACATATTTGTTCAGCATATCATATGTAACTATTTGCAATACTCTTTGCAGGCTGGTGTCTTAGATGCATTTCAAGATGCTCATTGTAATACAGACATTTAAAGTAAGCAATTTCAAGCATGAATTTATTTTACAACTAATATATGCAAGATTTCACTTGCTGCTCCCATTTAACACTAAAAATGATACAATACTTATTGTACAAAGAACAATTCTGAGTATCTGTGGAAATAAAACATTAAAGTCATATAGCGTGGATTTGCTATATAATGAAGACATAACCAGTGCAACCCTATCTGTATTTCTACACCATCGAGGAGATCAGAAATAGAAAAAACTTGAGAAGTTACCAGGTTCATTGATTTTCATTGTGGGGCTTTATACAGTATGATTTTTCCTAGCAAGACGACAATATTAGTCTCAAGTATGTGATGGTGCTTCCACCACAGTTTTTCAAACATTAATCTACAGCTAAACAGATTTAAACAAAATGTTTTTTTCCTGTAACCTTATTTTCTCTTTCTTTTAAGTCTACCGCAAGGAATATAATTCAATGTCTCTGTTACGTAAGACATCACATCTATATATGAATCAATCTATCCTTTCCGCTATTCAAGCTAAGTCTGCTCAGCATTCATCGTGTTATGAATGGTGAGTCACCTGTCATTCCGCAAAAATTAAATTACTGAATGGAGTATGGTTACTGAAATCAGGTGATTGCTCTGTGAATCAAACAGCAAGATCCAAAAGAGAAAGAAGAAAAAGGTTGACACTGCTCACAATTTCGGTTGTGAGCATTGATAATGCAAAATTACTACTTAGTACTAAAAAAATAAATTAGGACAGTCACGTAGACAAATGTAGGTTTACTCTGATGATGGGACTGGGAAAATGGGCTTTGAAAACGGAAACAGCTTTGTTGCTCTCAGAGCCGTGCTATTTCCAAGCAGTGATTGAAGTACAGTTACTTCCCATACCACTGTGTATTAAGTATGAATCTGACTGGTATATTGATTTTTTTAATGGTTAAAAATAAACACACTTAAATGTTAAAGATATAATAATCTTCGAGTTTTTCGAAAAGTTGAAAGAACAGGAAAAAGTAGTCTAAACTACATCACAGTTTATAACTCAATCCCTAAAATTAACTTAGTAACAGCAAGGTAGGTAAACATAAAAAATTAGGACCTGCAGTATTCCCTCCCCACAACAAATCCTTGAAGAGAGCTTTAACGTGTTTATGTTTAAGGACTAGTTAAGCTTATCTCATAACTGGTACTAAAACTAATCTCTGGCAGGGTCAAAAAGCTCTTCCAGCATGACTAGGCAAGGCTAAAATCCAGAAGTTCCTGCATCCTCAAACATTTCCTAAATAAGTTTACAATTAATCCCATTTACAAGTCACTGGCACATCTGCAAACATGAACACACACAGGCTGATAGATTTATATTCTCAAAATCACCAAAGGACTGAGTTGATCAACCAGAGACTTCAGAGCATGTATAAATATGCCAGAGCCATTTCATGGGAAATCTTACCTCCGGGGAAGTAATTTTCAAGGAAAAAGTTGTGATCAGACTTAAAAACTGTAAGAAAGCATATGTATAAAGATTTGGCTTGTGTACTGGCCTGTCTTCGAAAGTCTCAGCGTTATCACCCTTGGCCATCAGGCTTTGGCATCTACACAAAGCTTGTAAAACTGATGGCTATTTACTCACTTCTGAACTCAGCGCTAGACTCAGTGATATTTTTTATGCCTACTCTACAGGCTTGAAGGGAAATCAAGAACACGTGAGAAATTTCACAAGCTTCCAGGAAATATTTACAAAATACTGTTCAACTATAAGCATAGACACTTGCCCTCTCTTTCACAACCAACATCTCTGTTGAAAGGGGAGAAAAAAACTACAAAATGTCAAACGTAAGCATCAAGTTTGATGTCCACAGTTTGCATCAGTGTGAACTTCAACCTCTTAGCTGGATTGGATCAAACACAGACACTAAAAAAATTAACTGACAAGTTGAAGAGTGATGGAAGGTAGGAGAGGAAGAGGAGAGAAAGAGAAATAAGGTGTCAGACAAGGGGAGTAAGGCAAGACACTGACCTCACATACCTAGCACTCCAGGGTTTCACACTGCTATTGCAAAATAAAAAGTAGATCCCTCACTCTTCACTTCAGTCTGTTTCAAACATCCATACAGCCTCTTATTCCCAAGAGTTGCCACTGATGCACTGAATGTCAGGAAATATACATGGAAGAATAGTTAAGCAAAGGATGACCTGTCAAAGGAACATCTGTCTGTGATGCAACTCTTGGACATAACATTTTTTACGCCCCAACAGTTACTTTGGGAGTTTTAATATCCTACAGGCAAGTCTTGCAAGGTGACCCCATTAAAATCTGGGCCATCTGGGGAAGACAGAATTTGCTGGTTATCCTGCTGACAGCATTAACTTCAGTACGGATTTGTTTCCGTTGGAAGTTTTCGTGTCCTTGATACTGTTTACACTCAAGCAAGGCTTCAGCCTGCGTAAGAGAAAAGTAGTAAATAAAAGACCATTCTTTCGTGAGAGGTGAAAGTTCCCCAACAACACAGTGGGAAGTGAGGTTTCCTGTCGTTATTTCTGCTACTTTTTACAGGTGGATAAAACTCAGAACTCAATACAACACGTTTTTGGTCCAAATTCAAGCTTGACTGCTCCTACAAGATCATATGAGACTTTCAATTTCTCTCTTACATCTGGCCAAATTAAATCGGCATGGGCTTCCCCCTCTGGCCTCCTAGGATATCAGATCTTACAAAGAGACAAGACTTCTAGTTGCTGCATTAGCATCATGGTTGAGGCTTCTGTTGCTTCTGAGCTCTGTCCTTACAGAGGGCTTTGGCTTAGTGTTTCTGTGAGGGCAGTATCTCTCCCTTTGTGCCTGCAGCAGTTTCACCAATGTTGTTCTGGGTCCTCACTCTACTACTGCCACCTGAGATTTTTCTACAAACCTACTTATCAGTCCTTGAATTCACCTCCTCCTGCAAAATCTGCAATTTGACAATTTGCTGCTTAGCACTGGTCGGGTTGTGTTAACTTGTAACATTCTCACTAAACCATTCATCTAGACAGTTTAAGAGTCAGCGATAATCATGCATGTGCTCAGTGCTCCTGAACAAAAATTTCTGCTCACTGTTGAACCGATGAATATGATTGTGGGCCTGGGCCTGTGTCCTGCTGATGCCCGGTGAGCTCCGTGAGCTGAAAGCTGGGTGGCTGGCATTTCACTTCGCTTTATAAGCAAGCATGTAAGGAACTCTCACTTTGTTCTTTGCTCAGTCAACATCAAGAAAGGCATAATTTAGATTTATCCTGCCCTAGCTAGGATTTGAGGGCTCTGTGTTTGTAAGCAGTCTAGATCTGCAGTTTAGGAAATGGTCCACTTTGTTAGGAAACACAATTTTCAAAACGTAGATGGGTCAGAGTCTGGTCTGTGTCCCCTTTCATTTAAAGTTTAATTCTAAATTGGCAACAAGTGTATCCCAACTGGAGGCTAAAGCCTGGAGAGAATTACTCTTACAGACACAAAAGTTGCTGTCTGGGACTGAGGAAAACGAAAAAGAATAAAGGAGAAAAGAGACATGGTGCTCCGTATTACACGGCTTGTCAGGATGTTGCACAGCCACCCGTTCACGGTAATTTAATGGTGGACAGAGGAATATTTTATTTGTGTTTCGGCTAAATTCTTGGACAGACAATTTTCCGTCCTGGAAAGAATCCAGCCCGTATTTATTCTCCCCCTTCATCTCTCGTCATCCTCTCCTGCCTGCCCCTCCCTACGGCACTAGACACGCTCTCCTTTCAAAAAGTTACTGACCAGAAAATTGCCGAGGGCAACAGCCCAGCGAGGCGGTTAATCCCCGCTGTGGCAGGCCCGCTCCTGGAGGCTTCCTGCCCCGTGGTTACCTCTGGGTGACCCCGGTGGTTGGCAGTCAGGGAGGCAGGTGGAATGCTAAAGCAATCGCTTATGCTGCAGGCTGCTGGCGAGAGGCGGCAGCAGCAGGGTAGGAGTCTTCCTACCATCGGACATGGGAAGGAATAGATTTATGATGACAGAGGAACTTAACACGCCCTGCTCTTAATTAACCTTAAAGCAGGCAAGGGCTGTGACATCAGAGTTTAGTGCAGATTTTCCCAGGATTTATTCATGAGCAGATTTTTGCAAAACAAACCTTATCTCTAGATCTTCTCCCCTCTGGCAAGTCACAGAACTCCTTATCTGGCCTTAGGAAAATCATTTCAGCTGGAGTGGCAGGCTCAGTAGACACTGCATCCTTCCCTCCCAGAGGACTCGTTTAACTCTGGACTTAATCTGCTAATGAGACATGCCCTGAGGTCGGAGGGGAGTCAAAAGGAAGGTTTTAGCTGCTGTTGTACTAAGGCAAGACTTTCTAATAGAGGCCTGCACTGGCTACTTGCCAAAAGCCCCAAACCTGACTGCAGGTTTAAATCCTGATTTTCATCCGTAACATGAGTAAGAGTTATGCTTCTGACCGC